AAAACCTAGGCACACTAACTAAAAAAAAACAGAAAGTAAGTCAGCAAACACAGAAACTTTATTTACTTGATGACATAAAACAATAATACTTGATGACACACTCCGAACACTAGGTATACTAAAGAACAACTAGAAGGTATATGTGCAGACCAGCAGAAAACTAACCAAGCAACTGGTAAACCAATGAATAACAAAATACTGACAGCTATTAGCAGACCAACAAAACACTTATAGCGACCTGCCATGAAACTATCTCTTAGCGAGGATATACAATGGAAATCATATCTACCACCACCTAACCAATTGACACGTACCGTGAGATCAGCCAGGGAAATCAATCAGAAAACCGACCTTCCCCTGTAGTCGCCCACGCCCATGCTAGAGAGCCCTAAGTGCAGAGCTACAACAGCCGGTAGGTCTCCACAGGGTGCGTCCAGAAATCAAATAGCTCGCTGAAAGACTCAACAGTCTTTTGTACCCAGTAGACAGATTTCTCCGGTTTTTACTGTCTTAAACTAAAAGCTGTTCCTGTGGCCTCTTGTCAATTTTAAAACAGATTAAATAAGATCGATGAGCTGCTAAACAGTAGTCTTCCAGCCTATTACATCAATATTGTTTTTCCTCTTTGTCAGTACTTGTTTTTCCTCTTTGTCAGTACCTGTTTTTCCTCTTTGTCAGTACTTGTTTTTCCTCTTTGTCAGTACTTGTTTTCCCTCTTTGTCAGTACTTGTTTTTCCTCTTTGTCAGTACTTGTTTTTCCTCTTTGTCAGTACTTGTTTTTCCTCTTTGTCAGTACTTGTTTTTCCTCTTTGTCAGTACTTGTTTTTCCTCTTTGTCAGTACTTGTTTTTCCTCTTTGTCAGTACTTGTTTTTCCTCTTTGTCAGTACTTGTTTTTCCTCTTTGTCAGTACTTGTTTTTCCTCTTTGTCAGTACTTGTTTTTCCTCTTTGTCAGTACTTGTTTTTCCTCTTTGTCAGTACTTGTTTTTCCTCTTTGTCAGTACTTGTTTTTCCTCTTTGTCAGTACTTGTTTTTCCTTTTTGTCAGTACTTGTTTTTCCTCTTTGTCAGTACTTGTTTTTCCTCTCTGTCAGTACTTGTTTTTCCTCTTTGTCTTTATTGCTTTTTCTTCTTTGTCTTTTTTTTTTTTTTTTTGGTTTTCCCTCTCTATCTTTATTATTTTCCCTCTTTGTCTTTATTGCTTTTTCTTCTTTGTCTTTTTTTTTTTTTGGTTTGTTTTCCCTCTCTGTCTTTATTATTTTCCCTCTTTGTCTTTATTGATTTTCCCTCTTTGTCAATATTTGTTTATCCTTTTGTTGCCGACTTCTGTTCCGTTGCTTCTGTTTGTCCTCTTACGCTTGAGGTTATCAATGATAATTTAATTACCAGCTTTGTATGCTTGTTTGGTTCTCTTGCATGCAACAGATGAAATATTGTAAGTATTATTTATTTTTTACTTTTTAAATCAGGCTGTTCCCACCAAAGATGCCTACAAAATGCTGGCTGATCATTGTTGAGTTTGTGATTGATGTGTCAAGTGACATGACTGCAATGACAACTGTCAGCAGCGAGACTATCACATATATAAAGACAGTCTACAGAAACACGTTTTCTACTTAACCAGTCTGAATACTATTATTGCATGCTATTATTATTAGTCATGTTTGACAATTTCACTATACTTCTATGCTTACTTCCTTTTTTTTTGTGTCGAACATCAACTCGGTTTATTAGTTTTTATATAACTGACTTGTGATAAACAAACACTTTGTTTATAAATGATTGCTTCCGAAAAAACGCTATATTCGTCATCCTCGTGTAGGATTCAATTTTTTGTTATTTTGAAGCCCCCACCCTAGCTCTTGCCAGCAGTAGCAATATAGCGCAGCCATAGATATGGTCTTATGGCTGAACGCGGTTTCTAGGACCTCTCCACGGTGATCCTCATCCATATGGTGGCACTTTGTGTCATCGGGTGTTTATCGCTTGTGTGATGTCATAGTGGCGTAAAATGTACTACTACTACTTAAAAGCTATATCAAAATATGCGTAATTTTTGTTTGTGGTATAAACAATTATCTTTATTAAAAAACGATTATTAAACTGCTGATAGAGACGTCTGGCGATCTCTCTGGCAAACCTCTACACCCCAAGGTAGAAGAGGAGCGACTAAGACTAAGTAAAAAACGATTATTTATAATCCATTTTAATTATTATTGATAACATTCCTATGTTGACATTCCTGTTAGCCATTATATGTCACCTAGGGGTCGCAGTCTGTGTATCAAGCCCCATCTATCCTGTACAATCTATTCAAGCACTTTTGGCTTCTATCATCAAGGCTTACCTCTAGGTTCCTCAATCCTCTATTTCCCAATGTCGGTGCCCATTTGGGGATTTTCTGTTCCTCTTTTCTTAGAATATGTGCAGTAGAGCGCCATCGTCTCTGTTTTATGAGTTCATACTAGTGGTAGTCCAGACATTTCTTGTATTTCTCTATCCCTCATCCCTCTTCGATTCGTCCCATCTTAAGATCATTAACCTCAGGCATTTAGTTTCAAATGCATTAAACTTTCGTTCCATGTCTTTATTGATTCTCCAGCTTTCGCTGGTGTATGCTGAAACTAGAATAACATTAGAATTACAAATATGTTTCTTGTTTCCGTAACTATGGGTGTTGCTGTCTCAGTAAACGGATCAGTTATTTTAATTCCTTTTTTTTTTTTTTGCAGATTACATCTGCTTGACGTGTTACTGGTGTTTTTTTAAATATATATTTGTCTTTCATAACCTATTCGTACTCCTACATTTAATGATATGTTTGCTAACTGTTCCGTGCATGTAATTAATGTTCATACTTAGCAGAAAAATATCACTGGTAAAATGGAGAAGTCTAACCGTGTGTTCTACACCCAGTCAATGAAGGTGTTTTTAACACAACATGTTCTTTTAAAACACTCAAAGCTAAACACTCTTTCCTTGAATGAATTAATGAATGAATTAATGAATTGACATCGGTGCATTCTGGAACATCCCACGCGTGCTCCAGCTCCTTCCTCTGTAGCCAATGAAGAATCGATATGCTAACAATGTTTGTTTCAACCAGTTTAACAGTGCGATTATGTTTTCCCACAGTGTTGAATATCTTCTAGAACCCTGTTAACCCTCCCCCACCCATATGTAGACCCCAAAAAAAGCATCAACAAAGCGCTGTCAGGAGCAAACATAACCCCGTAGTCCAACATTCTGCCATTCCTGACCTCCATTTTGAGCGCAAAGCTCCTAGCTGATTTTGAGATTTTTATCATGAGATGTAACCTGTCTCACGCCCACTTCCAACCTGTCTCAAACCCACCCCCAACCTGTGTCATGATTGTTTTCAATCTGTCTCACACCCACTTCCAATCTCTCTCAAACCCACTCCCAACCTGTCTCATACCAACCCCCACCTGTCTCATAAAACCCCCACCTGTCTCATAAAAAACCCCACCCGTCTCATAAAAACACCCACCTATCTCATTAAAAAAAACCACCAGTGTCGTAAAAACCCCACCTGTCATAAAAACCCCCACCCGTCTCATAAAAACCCCCACCTGTCTCATAAAACCCCTGCCTGTCTCATAAAAACCCCCACCTGTCTCATAAAACCCCTGCCTGTCTCATTAAAAACCCCCACCTGTCTCAAAAAACCCAAAATGTCTCATAAAAACCCCAACCTGTCTCACAAAAACCCCCTCCTGTCTCATAAAAATCCCCACCTGCCTCATACAAACCCCCACCTGTCTCATCAAAACCCCCACCTGTCTCATAAAAACACCCACCTGTCTCATAAAAAACCCCACCTGTCACATGCCCACTCCTAACCTTTCTCTCACAAACCCTAACCTGTCTTTTACCAACCCTCTCCTGTCTCATACTCACCCCACCTGTCTCATACCAACCCTCTTCTGTCTCATACCAACACCCACTGTCTTATACAAACCCCAACTGTCACATGCCCATTCCTAACCTTTCTCTTTTCTACCCTCACCTGTCTCACACCAACCCTCTCCTGTCTCATACCAAACCTCTCCTGTCTAATAACAACCCTCACCTGTCTCATACCAACCCTAGCCTGTCTCATACCAACCCTCACCTGTCTCATACCAACCCTTACCTGTCTAATTCCAACCCTTACATGTCTAATACCAACCCTCACCTGTCTCATACCAACCCTCACCTGTCTCATACCAACCCCTACTGTCTCATACCAACCCTCACCTGTCTCATACCAACCCTCACTTGTCTCATACAAACCCTCACCTGCTTCATACCAACCCTCACCTGTCTCATACCAACCCTCACCTGTCTTATACCAACCATCTCCTGTCTCATACTCACCCCATCTGTCTCATACCAACCCTCTTCTGTCTCATACCAACACCCACTGTCTTATACAAACCCCAACTGTCACATGCCCATTCCTAACCTTTCTCTTACCTACCCACACCTGTCTCACACCAACCCTCTCCTGTCTAATAACAACCCTCACCTGTCTCATACCAACCCTAGCCTGTCTCATACCAACCCTCACCTGTCTCATACCAACCCTTACCTGTCTCATACCAACCCTAGCCTGTCTCATACCAACCCTCACCTGTCTCATACCAACCCTTACCTGTCTAATTCCAACCCTTACATGTCTAATACCAACCCTCACCTGTCTCATACCAATCCTCACCTGTCTCATACCAACCCCTACTGTCTCATACCAACCCTCACCTGTCTTATACCAACCCTCACTTGTCTCATTCAAACCCTCACCTGCTTCATACCAACCCTCACCTGTCTCATACCAACCCTCACCTGTCTTATACCAACCATCTTCTGTCTCATACCAACCCACACCTGTCTCATACCAACCCTCACATGTCTCATACCAACCCTCACCTGTCTTATACAAACCATCTCCTGTCTTATACCCACCCCAACCTGCATCATACCAACCCTCACCTGTCTCATATCAACCATCACCTGTCTCATACCAACCCTCACCTGCCTCATACCAACCCTCACGTGTCTCATACCAACCCTCACCTGTCTCATACCAACCCTCACATGGCTCATACCAACCCTCACCTGTCTCATACCAACCCTCTCCTGTCTCATAACAACCCTCTCCTGTCTCATACCAACCCTCACCTGTCTCATACCAACCCTCACCTGTTTCATACCAACCCTCACCTGTGCCATACCAACCCACACCTGTCCCATACCAACCCACACCTGTCCCATACTAACCCACACCTGTCCCATACCAACCCTCACCTGTCTCATACCAACCCTCACCTGTCCCATACCAACCCTCACCTGTCCCATACGAACCCTGATCTGTCCCATACCAACCCTCACCTGTCCCATACCAACCCTCACCTGTCTCATACCAACCCTCACCTGTCTCATACCAACCCTCACCTGTCCCATACCAACCCTCACCTGTCCCATACGAACCCTGATCTGTCCCATACCAACCCTCACCTGTCCCATACCAACCCTCACCTGTCTCATACCAACCCTCACCTGTCTCATACCAACCCTCACCTGTCTCATACCAACCCTCACCTGTCCCATACCAACCCTCACCTTTCTCATATCAACACTCACCTGTCTCATACCAACCCTCACCTGTCTCATACCAACCCCAACCTGTCTCATACCAACCCCAACCTGTCTCATACCAACCCCTACCTGTCTCAAAACCCACTTTCAATCTTAAACCCAACCCAACCTGTCTAAAACCAACGCCCCCCGTCCCCCCCCCACCCCCCAACAT